AGGAATTATTGTGATCGTGAAAATTTCCAAATCTGAGTTTTCAACGGAAATATCAAGTTCTGTATTTTAGCAGTCTAGCTCAAAAACGAGAAGTCGTACGAAACTGATATTACGTATTTAAGATAAGTATATGCCTCAGATGTGACAGCAACTTTTTACTTAAAATCGGCTAACCGGAAGTGCCACTTTATATCAACGCTGAAACACATTTTTACAATTTTCTCAAAAACGGCTCTTACGATTTTGATTAAACTCGGTTTGTGAAATATAAAAATATTTCATGGATATGTTTATAACATTAAATACTTTTGCTGTAGTTTAATATTATATTATATAACTGTAGATATTATATTATATTTAAATAATTAGGTATCTATCGGCCGTTTATTCCAAAAAAATCATCAAATAACCTTATAGAAAATTAAATTAGTGATTAATTTGATGAATTTTCCCTTTGTGAAATCCCAACATAATTCACTTACAATTAGTGTGACAACTTTGGACCTATCCATGGCAGGCAATGAAAATCTCGGAATTTCATTTTAGTAAACTTTACAATGGAAAATAACAGTTTAATAACTAGTAGTCCTATAATAAAGTTTACTTTCTATCAAATCTATAATCAACGAATCGTACAATCCATAATCAACGGATTGTACAACCCATAATCAACCGGTGATATAATAAATAGGACTTTTGTTATTTTAATGGTATTTATGATTTGTTAGCTGTAAGCTTTTAGCTTTGGCTCGGTTAAAAATACAATTAAAAAATTTTATAATAGCCCAACATGGTCAGAAAATAATTTCTATTCAAAGTTGAGCGGTAAGTGAAAGTTGCGTGTTGCGCGCACCAGATTTTTTTTAAGTAATGGTTATAATGATCCCGGAAGTTCAATGCCGTCAATATCCACAATCTTTGTTTCTGTAATATCACACTTTTTTTTCACTGAAACCCAACAGAAATCATCAACAACATATTCAGTGCCTACTTTGGGGCAGAGCAACTCGCCCAGAGGCATTCGTCACTCGTTATGAACCATAAAAAAAATATAAAGCCTTTTAATGAGAGAATTAAATTAGAAACATATTGAAATTCAAATATAAAGTAATATACAATAGTTTTTTATTTTCTTTCTCTAAATTGTATAAATTTTTTTATTTATAGAGTTAGAGAGCGCTCATGGCGTAATTGCCCGCGAACTCCGAATTTATAAGGCCATCATAAATCGTATCTAACGCCATCCTTCCTTACACGTTTTCGGCCGTATCCTTGTACTTGGGAAGTTTTCATCGCGTTTATCTTTGAGTTATTCAGACTTGCTCAGGCAGGGTTGAAAATTTTAATTGTATCTTTTTCGGTCTGAATGTACGATATATTTACTCTCTGATTAATGGAAACATTCTTGATTGACAGTGATAAATATAAATCAATTAATCGATAAAAATAATGTTAGGTTATAATCATTTTTTATAGAGCAATATAAAAAGACGGGTATTTATGATCTAATAATTCAAAATTGGCTAGCCTTAAGTATTTTTAAATGTTCGGAAGAATAATTAAATTTAACGATTACTCTTTGGCAATGAAGAAGTTTATTGCCGAACGAATTAGTTTTTTTTTTTTTACTATTCAATCAGCACGAATGACTGTCCTATCAAAGTTTAATTTATGAATCAATTCACTTCGTTTATCGCTGGATTTGTATTCCCTATGTCGATAGTGAAATCTTGTGTTTGCAATTTGGTCATTTTCTTGATAGGATTGGTATAAGTTTATAAAAAGCATTGATACCGTTTTTTATTTTGCTGTTATGCATTCCTTGGATCATTATACGTAATATTATACATTCCGTTCTTATTTGAACTTTAATCACACTGTTTTTATCATGTTCTATAATAAGACACATCCCTATACCTTTTATGGTATGTTACGGATGAGACTTGTAGGCCTGTAAAGAGGCTAAACGTAGGCGTTTAGTACTTGGAGGCTGTTGGTAATAGCTTGGCCAACCAGTTGGTTGCTACCCGGCAAATTGGTTATATCATTTTAGAGGAGGGGGGGCGAAAGAAGAATGTTATTATCGAGAGCTTCTAGACCGCTACTGCATTATCCTTCCGAGTTTATTAGGAGTCGTTGGAATGGACTTGTCCCTTGCGTTGATCTTTCTCTGATGGCATAGCTATAAGTAGGTAAGGTCGTTTGTAGTTCGGTTCTTTCCTTTAATGACATCTGGATATTCGCTAGGATACCTCGTGTTCCACCGACCCAGATAAGAAACAGAGAAAAAACAAATTCTTTCATTATGTGGAATTGAATAATAGTGGGATATATAAAAAAAATTATCGTTTTATAAAGTTAAAGATTTTAAATTACTTTAAATATTTTAATCATTTTAAATACTTACCAATACTTAATAATCTCCTTAGAGCATTCTCTAAGCTTGTTTAATCCCATTAGACTTCTTCTTAAAAAAAAAAACCCTCAGTTCAGTTATTTGTTTCAAAGAAGAAGCATGACAGTGCCTTACGAAATTCCCGTAATTTTAAGGCATTACTGAAAAAAAAATTTCACAGCTGCTGAAGCAACTTGTGAAATTATTAAACACGAAGGGGAAGGTGTCCTTGACCAGCGCACTGACCAACGTTGATTTGAAGAATTTTGCAGTAGAGATATGATGTTGGAAAGGAATAAGGGCTCCGGCGACCATTAATGGATATTTCTGCAGGAAGCTGTTGAATCAAATCCGACCGCAAATTCTCGCGAACTTGCCTGGGAGTTGGGTGTGTCGAAAAATACTGTTAGTAGTCATCTACTCTCCATGGGGAAGGTGAAAAAGAACAGTGGACTGGTCCCTCAAATTAGCTAAGAGGTGTGTGAAAACTTATTGAAAAACACTTCTGATATGAGATTTTACCGGAAGATTGTCACCTGTTATTCTACTTGCCTGTTGATTCATTCAACAAATGCTATGACATTGCACCATGAAATAATTCATTATGCTACTTTTTTTCTTATTGAGTTATATTCAATTTTGTCATTATCAACAACGTATGTAATAATCATAAAATATTTCATTGACAACATTTCTTCAATAGAAAATAAAATAAATATACCTCTTCTTTTCAGAGGCTTCGGAAATTTGACAGAAAATATTTTAAATAAAATTTTATGAATTAGCGAGTCAAAGTGACCAACAAGCTTAGAATTAGAAGAAAAATACCTGATTCGGTTCAAATCTGCAACAAGTGAAATATTTAGGTCTTTATGGATAATTTTATTTGTGACGTGATATGGAGTATTAAGGATTCCATGGAAGCTTTTGGATCGTGAGGATTAGACACGGCAAGAACCGGACATGTAAAGCTCAATTCTATTTGTTCAAATTTTTCTCATAATAACAGTGTATTTAAGTTGTTTTTATTGTAGAATATTATAAGTGTAGAGCGTTTGTCAAGTAAGTGTTGTAGTAATCGGAATCTACGAGCAGACTCTTGGCACTTTGATAAATATTTTTAAAAATATAGTGTTTTCGGTTGTATTTATAAGGTGAAAACTCTCCCACCTCCTTACGAGAAATTCTTTTAATTTAATGCGAAATACTTTTATTTTGATGAAACCTTCATCATTATGCCCAATAGTATATTGGACTTAATATACCCCCTTTGTATCCACACTCAAAAACCTCCCATTTCCATGCAGTCAGAAATCTGTCAAGTATTGACATTATACATGTATTTCATATCAATTATCATCATATGATAAGATTGTTCTTTGCCAAGGATATTTCATGGATTTTCTACTTTCGACGCCACTCAATACAATTATTTATCCACTCAATACTCTTACACGTATCTTCCATAACAGGTTATCATGCTCTTCTTATGATATATTTACATATTATCCAGCATTTACATAATTAGGTTCATATCGACAAATGCAGCTTTTGTTTTTCTTAGTAGAAATTTAGAGCTTATTTAAGAGAAGAATTTTATTTATTTTGCCTTTTTTCCTTTCATTTCTTTTTTTTTGGCTAAAAAAAAAAATATTTGCGCCTGTCAACAATCAGCAAATTGTATTTGGAAATACAAGACATAAATGAAATTTCAAGCAGGGAGAAGAAAAGTACTCAGTAGCACCTCTTTCCTAATTTGTTTCAATTACTTACTTTGTTTAAGGAAGGAGATCTCTCATCCAAAGCCTTTTTAGTCTCCATCTCATGTTCTGGGGTATGTCAGATGTGGCCATGTCTCTTATTAATCTATTGTCATGTCTGTTTAAATTAGTATAAAATCGTAGGTAAAGGGTCGTTATATGTTGGTCAACTGTTGAAAGGTGAAAGTCAGTACGTAGAGTTTTGTTAGTCACGTACCATGGTCATTTTGTTATGAGTTGCGATAATTTTGATTGGAAGGTTTGAAGTTTTTGAAGGTTTATATTTATACTATTCTAACTTTATATATAGTTTAAAGTGTTTTGTTCATAGGTTTAACTGTTTTGTACATAGTTTTGTATATAACTTGTTCACTTAAGGTTTTCTTTACCTTTTTTTATTTTATTTATTTTTAAAAACCTTTAAGTCAGTATTTTATTTCTGTACAATTTTGTTATTGTAAAGGGACTTTGTCCCAGAATATAGTTGTTTTCTATATATGTATATTAAAGTTCGAGTTATTGTTGGTTCGTTTTGTATGCATGTATGGTCAGCTTTATAGACATAATCGTTCGTCACGATGTTACGGCCATCTCTCACACGGCCTGAACAACTTTCGCATCAGAAATTCCCTCTACGCCTACTTCATCGATTTAATTTCCCGGGTTATGCTAATTGCTTGGAGAAGGATCCTTACATGGGGCCGAAGACACCTTATGCGCATATCAACTAGCCCCCTCAACTACCGGGGAACTATGAATCCATTCATGAAAGTGGTCCGCAGGTTCCGACACCCTCATAAGCCACGGAACTGATTATGCTAAGTCGAAGAGAGGGTTCCATGTTGATGTTGCATGGGTTCGGCGGACACCAACAGATGTTTAGTTCCCGTTAGGTGATAGGAAAAACACCAGCTATTTATATCTCTTAGCCCGGACCGCATGTAACCATCATCTATCTGTGCTAGGCCTCACTCAGAGAAACAGCGTTGAGGGTTCCGCTATGTGTGGTCTTGGGAAACGTTTGGAATATAGTTGGCTGTGGCTAACTTGAAGGGAATAAATAAATACTACAACCAGTTCCCCACATCATTTATGTAAAATTTCAATACAAATATTTTTTCACTTGGGTTCAATTCCTCTTTTATTGAGAAACAAACAACGTTGTTTGTCTTTTTATAAAAACTAGTGTCGCCCAGTGGTCGAAATCCGACCTTAATCATTATTGAAAATTCTAAGTAAACATATATGAATTTACATATTTCCAAAAATTTTCTTTTATACGTTTTATGCATTCGTGCAGACACTTCAATATATACTTACAATATAAAACAGTTCAGTGCCATTTGTATACTTTTTTAAGTTATTCGCAAATTATATTTTGAATCCTTTGCTAATTTTTTTTTAGCCTTTTTTCGGCGAAGTATGTTATATACATAAATTGAAAGCACTTCAAGGAGAAGACTAGCCAAGTTCCATTAAATTCGGGTATAGCCTTTTTGGCATTTAGTTACACACGTTTTTCGGCCGCTATTTCGAAACGAAAGACCGTATATTAATATATATAAAACACTCCTGAATTAGATTGCAACGTTGTATCAAATCTTCAAAGGAATCGATGAAATACTTTCGGAAAATAGCCATTTTGAAAAAACTAACATTTATATCTTTAATTATGATAAACAACCTTTTATAGGTTATTGATATTTTTTGTCAGATTTTTTAATAATTATTATATTTAATCTATGTATGATTTTTTTTTTTTTTTATAAAAACCTTTTTAATCTCAGTCTATTATTATACATTTAAAACATTGTTACAATACTTAAAAATGATTTTTTTTTTTTAACGTTTCGGCTCCAAGAGCCATTTTCAAAAATTCCTTTTCTTTAAAAAAAACATGTCATATTAAAAAAATTATTTCTAAAAATGTCATATATATATATATATATATATATATATATATATATATATATATATATATATATATATATAGGATACTATTGTATGTTAGTATTTGTTTTATTAAATATAATTTTTTTTGTTTTATAATTAATAAAACAGTTACTACCATATCTAAATATAGAATTAAATTGTTTTTAATATGACTAATGTTTTGTTTGTTCAAAAGAAAAAGATTTTTCGAAAATGGCTCTTGGAGCCGAAACGTTAAAAAATAATAATTTTTAAATATTATAAAAATGTTTTAAATGTATATTAAAAGACCGTGAGATTAAAAAGGATTTAAAAAAAAAAATATTTTTATTTGTATACACATTTTCCAATTTTTTTTTTATATTGATTACTCTAAAGTTCTTCAATAGCTACTAAACGAGGGAAAAAATCGTTTGAGAAACAGAGGGTGAAACTGTACTGAACTGTTTTGTCTTTGCCCATCTATATTATGGCATTAAGGTCGCTAGAAAGCGAAATTAAGGATGTCTTCACCCTCAAAAGGACTCAAAAGAGCTACTTTGTAAAATATATCATATATATATATTTTTAAATATTTGGCTTTTATTTCAATAATAAAAAAAGATTATTGTTTTCCGCATGATCAGTTAAAGGTTCTTCCGTAACTTGTTTCCCTAAAGCTCTTAATCAATGAATGAAGAGCTTAAAAATCTATCCCTTCACAACTATATCGCTGTCGTATTTGTAACATTCACATACGAGAGATCGGTTGCATTTTTTTTTAATCTAATATTATTATTGTAATTCACAGAATTTGTTCTTGTAATTGTGTTTTGATGTAAGAAACTTTGAACAACTTTTGGCTAGCCTGTTATAGAGCTGCCAAAAAAAATGACATATTACCAATTACCAGTTTTAGAAAAATAGAACTTTCTCTCGCCCTAATTCCGAGACAGTTAACGGACCGGTAAAAGCCGAATCTGTTCCAGAGGCCGCCGATAAGCTTCGGCATTCGGTGCCACTATCAGAAGGCACAAATAGGCACGTGCTTGAGAGCGGCTAACCTTTGACCAGCTACCTCAGTGCTTGACCACACCTGTGGGAGGGGAAGGGGACTTGCGCCTGTTTGTGCAGATATTATCGCATCTGCTAACGACTTCTGCGAAAGCGAACTCGAGGGTTGTAGTTAATGGTAGCGTAGCAGCAGCATGACATGGACTTATTGGAATATGTGGTCGCTACTGAATCCTACGGCCTGCCAGGACAGCTACTGCTTAATTCCTCTACGTGCTGTTTCGTGATCTTATTTTCAATAGATCGAAAGCTATCTTCAGATGTATTGTATTATTAGGGGCATTCATGCGCGTGTTGTAAATGCTTAATGTGCCATCATGCTAAGCAGCCAGCACAAATTTTGAATGAATGGTAAATAATCTTTCTGTGGTGATGTGCTGAAGTGTTATTAGTTATAGTAAGTTATGTATGCCTGTACTGTTAACAAAGTTTGAGAGTTCTTAATTGATCTACCAACGTTTCGATTTTTTTTTTTTAAATACCGAAACTAAGTAAACAGTTAAAAGATGGATTATTTGGTTAAAAAGACTTTATTTAATGAAGAGAAGAATAGTTGGGATGGTCAGTCAAAAAAGAAGGCAAAAATAAATGATAATATATTTTTACATATGCCGACGTTTCGACCTGAAGTTCAACCACCCCAACTATTCTTCTCTTCATCATCCATGACAGTCAACCATTTACCAATTATGAAGACTTTATTTAAAATCATGAATAAGGATTCAAAACACAAAGAACTTGAAGATGAAATCCTAGCCGTTTTTACATTTCATTTCTGTGGATATTGTACTCAAACAAAGAATCAAACACTTCAAAACCTTATAGCACTGGAGCCAGGGCCCAAAAATCGACCTGATCGCAGGCGAAGGTTTGATTGTAAATTACGAAAGTGTATGTTATTCTGAGTAAAAAAAACCTTGTCTGCCGTTCCAGAGCCGCTGCTTTCCAAAATGGCGGCTGATTTAAAGAATATTAGGCCAGTGATTTGAGGATCGAAACGGGAAATCCATTGCGAAAAATGTGAGGAAAGTTTTTATTTTTTAAACTTGCATATATGGATTTAGATATGTAAAAATCAAAATTGCTAACGCGGGCCACCAAGGGAAAACTTTTTACAGCCAAAAAAGTCAGATTTTTTTTGATATTTTTTGGGTTTTTCATCTATAACTCCTAAAAAATGCATCAAAGCGAAAAATGTACTCTTTAATAAATTAAAGAGCGGTAAATTTTGCGTCAAATGAGTACATAAACTTTAAAATTTGGTAACGCGGTAAGGTATAAAACCACGGTCAACCAACGCTGAACTTTACCAAATTTGTCAAAAACTGAGACAAATTACTATAAATGGCCGTGTAACTTGGAAATGAGTTCCCTAAGAGGAAAAACCCATAGAATCAAAGTTGTACAGCAGCAAATTTTGCGTATACTGAGAACCAAATAATTTAATCTAGGTCACTGCCTGCGGAAAAAATCGGTAATCACTCGATGGTTAAAAATTGGTAATGATGATAAACGTGATTTTCAATATTTTAACAGTATGGGTGTTTTTTCTACTGAGTTAGTTTTGTTTAAAATCTGTTACATGCTGTATAAGCTCCAAGTTACAGAGCCATTTATAGTAATTTGTCTCAGTTTTCGACAAATTTGGTAAAGTTCAGCGTTGGTTGACCATGGTTTTATACCTTACCGCGTTACCAAATTTTAAAGTTTATGTACTCGTTTGACGCAAAATTTAACGTTCTTTAATTTATTAAAGAATACATTTTTCGCTTTGATGCATTGTTTAGGAGTTATAGGTGAAAAACCCAAAAAATATCGAAAAAATCTGACTTTTTTGGCTGTAAAAAGTTTTCCCTTGGTGGCCCGCGTTAGCAATTTTGTTTTTTACATGTCTAAACCCATATATGCAAGTTAAAAAAATAAAAACTTTTCTCACATTTTTCGCAATGGATTTCCCGTTTCGATCCTCAAATCACTGGCCTAATATTCTTTAAATCAGCCGCCATTTTTGAAAGCAGCGGCTCTGGAACGGCAGACAAGGTTTTTTTTACTCAGAATAACATACACTTTCGTAATTTACAATCAAACCTTCGCCTGCGGTCAGGTCGATTTTTGGGCCCTGGCTCCAGGGCTATTACAATAATCCTCACCAAACGTTTACAAAATTAGGAGCACAGGACCGTAGGCTGCGTTAAAATCAAGTGTGTTAGTGGTCATATTTAACAAAGATTTCGTAAATTATTTTATCAACTTTACATATTTAAGAAGTTTACAATACATAAACACTGGTTACATAAATGTTTCTATTCTCATTTTGATGTTTACAATTCACTGCTTTATATTGTTTATGGAACCATAACAGTATTTGTTGGAGTACTCTTCTTTCATTATGGCCATTAATTGTCGGATTCAACCAATAACGTAATGTTTGTATCTGTTGTAATTATCTTGTGCATATCATTTTGAAAAGATTAATTTGAAGCCACCCGAAGCTCTTTGTCTGTTGTATGAGGGTTTTCTTCCACTGCATCCTTAAGATCTTCGTTTTCGACTGATGTTAAAGGATGTCCATGTTGTAGATTCTGTAACATCGTATTTCCTAAAGAAAATTAGGGAAAGCAACGACGAATGGTTCTTTCATTAGAACTCCCTTCACCAAAAGAATTATCAATATTCCTTACCGCCCGGACAGCGGAATGACAAAGTTTGAATTCATAAAAACAGATAGTTCGAAAATCGTGTGCTTTCATTGGCACGTTTGAAATTAAACTAAAACTTTATGAACACTTTATATATGAAAACTTTATGTTTGTTTAATAGGAATTAAACAAACACTTTTAATAATAATATAAAATAAATAGAGGATTAGCTAATATTTATTATAATTGGTAAATATTTTGCTGAAAACCAAAAACCAGGTTTGCTAAAAATTCCTAGCAAACCCGAAGGTTATTTGCCAAAATCGTCTATTGCTGCCTACTTACTTTCATCCTGTGTTGTTTACAATTTTCTTTATATAATGCAATTAAATATATATAATTTTTAATGTAACGAAACGAAAAAACTAAATAGAACATCCGATTAAAACTAACGGAGCTAGGGAATTATATTTCTTCGTCGAACTATTTATTTAGTGTTTACCTCTAAATCCTTAGGAAACACAATTTTTTGTATTTTATGTATATTTATATGTATACTAAAAATATTTTATATGCACATATAGACATAATCTGGTGTGCGCAACACACAACTTTCACCTACCGATCTATTTTGGACAGAAATTATTTTCTGGCAATGCAGGGCTATTATAAAATTTTTTGAAGTGCATTTTGAACGGAGCTAAAGCTTAAAGCTTACAGATAACAAGTCATTAAGACCATTATAATTACAAAATGTATACTTAATATATCGACGACGCAATAAAAATCTATTCACTCTACCTGCTTTTATAAACCACACAACCTTCTTTGATTTTATAAACCACACAATAACTAACTCCAATTTCAACATTTTAGTGATATTTTTAGTTGAAAAAGTTATCTATGTAGACAATGAGTAAGTTGATTCCAGAGGTGGTGATTGCAGTGTTGAAATATAGAACTGAGAATAAAAGTATAAATTTAGGTACTACTTTCTTATGAAAGATGTTCTTAGGAAAGACACTTTATTAAATATCTGTAGAAAAAATGTTTTTTTAGTCTCAACAATTAAAAAAATATATTTTAAATATATCCAAATTTTCACTTCTTCAGGGAAAAAAAAACTAGAGACCCTTTCTTTCCTCCTAATTGTCCGATTTTAACGGTTTTTTTTGTTACAATATCGACAAAAAAGTGTATACTTTTTGACACACACACACAGACCATTTTGCGACATTGGTTATTTGAACTCAGGGGACCTCAAAACATGTATTTCCGTTGAAAACTGAGATTCGAAAATTTTCACGATCGCAATACTTACCCTCACTTTATATTACATATATACGTAAGTGAAAGTAATAGACAAAAGCTATTGAAAATCAAATCAAATCAATATTGATAGAGATGGGATAAATAAAATGTGTTGTTGACTTGACATCCATGGTGTTTTACATCATACATTGTCATATTAATCTAACCTTGAACATGAAGGATTAAGTGCGGATGTAACAGCGTTTTTCTCTATCTCGATTAATGATTGGCTTAGCGGCTTTTCCTATCTCGCTAGCGGTTGGTTTAGGGCATTTCCCGAGTTCCATCAAGATAGGTTTAGTCTTCTCACATACTTGCTTCCATTTAATTCTTTTATGGCGGGGCTTATAGAAGTCAATGCTTCGCAATAGTCATAACAAACACTTTGTTATTCGGCTAATTGTTTAGGTGCCACACAATTAAACCGACTACCACCGATCAATTAAAATTTGTTAAGTGTTTAATTTTCATTTATGATGAAGCGAGGGGATTGTGGAGTCGATTAATTAATCAAAAAGAGTTATAGTCTCTCCACTCCTTTAAACTCTGCTGAGTTTATCGCTTGCAAAATAACCAAAATAAGATTGGACATTGAGTCAGCTAAATCCGTGTAAAATTAGAACTTGATCTGAATATTGTGGAGGACGGGGTGAAATTTTTGGGATTTTTTTTCGTGCGATCCGGTTAATCCGTTTGGTTAATCCTAAAAATGTATACGACAACATTTGTTAGGCTTGTGAAGTTGAATCGAATGACACCTTGAACGGGAAGATCGGACAAAGTTGAAAAATCAGTGTGTTTTGCCCGTTTAATGCGACAACGCGTTACAGATGGTCGGTATTCCGGATTTTTCCCGTTGAGTTGTGATAATTTTTTCCATCAGTTGAGTAGTACAACTTTTAAATGTGGCTCGCGATAGAGTAGGTTGAGATGAGAATCGAAGTAACTGCCTAACCGGGATCTCTAGACAAATTACTCAAGAATTCATAACTTTGGTTCTACTCAATATTTTGCTTTCATTTAAAGCCTATATTTTAAACCAAGCAAACCTAAACATAATGTCAAAATTTCAAAAGTCTACCATTAGCCATTGCCGAGCTTACCTCTGTCAAAATATCGTAGACAATGCGGACATACAGACAGACAAAAATTTTTAAAAGTGGATTTGGTGTCTGTAATGTATGAAACGGAAAGATATAATGAAACGGGTTGATTCTATTCAATGTACAGACAAAACCTTTATTTTATTTATATAGATGTTCTTTAACCTATAAACATATGTTTATTATTAACATTTATTATCAACATTAATCGAGATCTCTAGACAAATTACTCAGGATTCATAACTTTGGTTCTACTCAATATTTTGTTTTCATTTAAAGCCTATGTTTTAAGTCAAGCAAACCTTAATAATGTCAAATTTCAAAGTCTACAATAAGCCATTGCTGAGCTTACCCCTGACAAAATTTCGTTGCAATGCGGACATACAGACAGACAAAAATTTTTTAAAAGTGGATTTGGTGTCTGCAATGTATGAAACGGAAAGATATCATAAAACGGTTGATACTAGAAATTGAGGAGTGGCTGCTCGAATCAGAACAAATCCCATTCGAAAACAACAAATGATTTCTCGGGAAATTGGAATCTCTGTCAGATCAATGTTTTGCATAATTAAAAGTGATCTTAGGATGAGTGCATTTCGAAGAATGACAGGACGAAGGCTAACCATTTAAAAAATAAAATAAAAAATACAATGGATATATAAAAAGTGCTCCTTGGCCGATCGAAAGATTTTGTTTAGGGATGAGAAAAAATTAATCGCCAAAATAATCGTGTATACGCATACAGCTCTAAAGATGCCCAGGAAGTCATTGGAAGAGTGAAATCACCCTTCCTAAATGATGGTTTGGTGGGGAGTTTGCTTTGATGGCACCACAAAGCTCCATTTTTGTGAAATAGGAGTTAAAACAGCCCCTAAAAACAATAAGGACGATATTTGTGAATCTGTTGTCAAGCTTCTAAATAATACTCAGTTTGCTGGAAGTTGTTGGGTTTTCCAGCAGGATCCCGCTCCAGCTCACAAGGCCAGGTCAACTCAGCAGTGGCTGCAAAAGAACATTCTAGAGTTCATCTCTGCCTCGGATTGGGCCCTGAGAAAGACGTGGTGATCTCAACCCACTGGATTATGGGCTTTGGTCCGAACTGGAGAGGATGGCATGCCACAGAGCACACCCTAATTTCTAAAGCTTCAAACAATCTGGTCCGAGCAGTTGAGCCTTCCTCAGGAAGTGATTGATGACTGGCCACGGAGATTAAATGCTATTTATATATTAAATGCTATATGTATATATATATATATATATATATATATATATATATATACATTTTATTTTCTAATAAAGTTTTTTAAAAAAATAATTTTTCTGTTGAAATGTGCATATATTTCCTTGTAACAATATTTATGACAGGACTAGGTGGACTATATACTGTGAATATAGTCTTACCTCACTATAATTATTATCCATGTGACTGAATTTTATATTATTCTATAAATAAAATAATTTGGATTTAAATAATGCACAAGTTCTGCATAGAGAAGGGAATTTAAATAAATGCAAAATTATGAAATCTATCTTTATAAAAAAGTATATCACTACTGTTAGTGCAAAAGGTTGCATGTAACAATTTTCCATGTTTATTCTATTAGTGCTAAAGGTGACATTCTGTAGTCTGCAACTGCACTAAGTATTCTGATTCTATGGAAAATAATATAGAGACATAAAATATGAAATTATAATAATGAATCGTAAAAAACACATTCATGTAACACATGTAAAATACATGTAAAAATACTTTTTACATAAGGGCATAAAAAATAAACAGTTTTTATGCCCTTATGTAAAAAAACTCAATTTTAACATACAACCTTTTGCACTAACAGTATCGACGTATAACAGTTGGGTACTCCACAAACCCATAAAACACTTTAATGTTGGCTTAGTAGACAAAATTAAAATATAAAATATGAATGGGTGCATATTACATAAGTTTTGGATATGTTTTCATTACCTAGTTTTTGTGTTTATGAATGCATGTGTTGGTATATTTGAGGAATGTATGGATATAAGTGTGTAAAAAAGTTGAGTTTGCCTTCAATTGAAATATAAAAAGCATTTGATTTCTGTTTGCCTTCAATTGAAATATAAAAAGCATTTGATTTCTAACCACTCTTCCCTCCCTCCATTTTTAAAGATAATTAACCCAGTCTTCAAACCGGTACATACCTATGATCAAAATAAACGTATTCTATTATAAGCAAATTTGACATTACATTAACAAGAATATATTTAATTTTAGTATCAACGAAGTTAACTTACGAAAAATGGATTACAAGGGCAATTTCGTTTAAAAGAGTAATAAAAACGTTAAGGTATTTGATAAGTAATAAAATTTATTTAAACTATAATTGGTTTAATTAATTATGTTATATACTGTTTATATATATATATATATATATATATATATATATATATATATATATATATATATATATATAAGTGGGGACTGGGGTAGACTTGCGGGCTAAGGCGCTTGCAATAGGTGATCAAAATTAAGCAACGCCGAGCGTGGCTAGCACTTGGATGGGTGACCGTCCACCTAGGAAAGCCGCGTTGTCTGAGATTCCTCCCCTCTCCCATGGTATGTGAGACCCGTCAGCCTACTGGAGGCAACTCACATCGACCACACTCGTGGTCAAAAATCTTCATGGTCTGTAGCGCCAACAGAAAAAAAAAATGTGGGTTTATATATATATATATATATATATATATATATATATTATATATATATATATATATATATATATATATATATATATATATATACATATACATATAAATGTATTGTATAAGAATTATGACAATGTATTAAATTAACAATTGAAGTAGTGTTAAAATTGGAACATTTTAATGGGAAAGGACTAAAACTGGGACTCTCCTTAAAACTAAAATCTCCAATACGCAGATTGCGAAAAGAAAAGAAGAAAAGAACTCGCGATATGCATTGACGATGGAATATTCCTGTTGGTGACGATAAATCGATATAGTTGTATTACTATTTACTGCATTATAGCAGTCACACAGAGCGCGATACCGACAAAAGAATATTGTATCGCCGGGTCATATCGCGTTCTATGTCTAAAGGTCTTAATTCATAGCATGGAAAAACAAAAACAAATACAACGTAAGTGGATTAGTTAACAGCAAAGCAAAACCACTTCCGTGACCTACATAAACATAGGTCACGGTTTTTTTGATTAATCGGAATCTACATGATCAGTCAGGAATGACAGTCACAAGACTGACATGGATTGCTCCAATCCTGACGAACCCTACATTTATTAATTGGACTGACTCAATTTCAGCTCAGATGACGTTCAGATAATAAACAACATGGATCTGGTGCATTGTCCATTAATAATAATGTGTTTAATTAAAACAGCCAATATGTTGTCTAGCACTGGACATAAGGAGAAAAGTAGATATATAAAAATTAATGGATTTCTAATTTTTCTTTAAAAAATCTATCGTTTGAAATATTTTTTAATAAAAAAAAAAAAAAAAATCTTTCTATATCAACAGACATGATGGATGTAAATTTATGTGCATTTAAAATTATAAGATTGATGTTTTGATATGTCTTGAATAATAGTTACTAAGAAGTGACTACTAGTTTTTATTCTTTTAATTTTTAAAACTGTTTAATATTTGGTATTTCAAGAGTCGATCCAAAATTACCATGACACTGCTTAATGAATACCTTTAATACACGTAACCGTAACGTCACAAAGGCAAGAAACATGGTTGGGGGTCCTCCAGTTTGAGTGATAAAATGTGCACATTGCTGGAACAGATAGTGCTCTTCATGGATTCCAGTCTAGCATGGGATACCATTAATAGCTAAGCACTTGAGGACATAAAGGCTTGATATCATTGGTGTTCTTTGGTTCGTATCTGAAAATGACCCCTTCCCTGTAGGTCTGTGTTTATAACGGCTATAAGGACCGCGAAAGAAGGATAGCAGACTTAGAGCAATAGATCGCCCTGGACTTTATAGAGCAAATAGAGTCGTAAAGTGCGGGGCGGAGGTCCCCCCCTGCCCTCCCTCCCCCTTTGGCCCATCACGACTCCATGCCTTCCTTCCCGCTCCAACCTATCGGCCACCTTCTCATTTACTGTTATTATCGTCTCGTTATGAGAGCGATTAGGGATTGTTATTTTCAAGGGGTATAAATAAGTTTTATTGGTGGTATTGGGCGATTCCTTTGTATTGTGTCTTTTACCTCTCTTAGCAGTTAAACCTAACTGTTTCCAAGTGCAGGCGGATTTATTAACTGTTTCCTTCCTCCATCATTATTCTATCATCTGTTTACAACTGGTCTAGTGTCAGTTCCATCAAACTCCATTTAGCAGTTAAAATCGATACACCTTAATATGAAGAATATAATAGCAGTGAAATATTGAAGACAGTAAACCATTTGTAGAAGACCATGCATTTATGTATTTTTATGTATGTACTGTATGCATTTTTGTTTTGTTCATTTTTCTCCCCTCTTTTATTTTATTTTATTTATTTAATTTTTCATCATTTTTTTCTTCCACGCTACAAGACCCTCTATGTATGTATGTTTTACCCTATTTCCCCGATTTTTCCCTTATCTTGATAGTCTTCCTCTTTGATGCCCATTATTTCTACTTCTTCTTTTATTTATTCCAGATTTTATGTTCTTAAGTTCTAAAACTCCATATCATATGTCCGAAGAGTTGTATTCTCCTTTTTCTCATAGATGTTTTAAGTTTTCAATATGTTCAACTGTTCTTTTTTAATCTGTATTCTTCTCCAACCCTTCTCAGCCCGTATATTATTCTCAATATCTTTCTTTTCTATTCTTAGTATCGATTCCATATTGTTTAATCCGATAGTCACATGATATACATGTGTGTGTATATTTGGCAATTTGAACGGGACCGGTTTAGAAAAAAGTATTATATTTGCCTGGTACAGCGTGAGAACAGAGTGGATCAACCAACATTGCTATGTAGGAGTAAATATTTTAAGTTGAAGCAAAGTCGAACCTAAAATACGAATTTTCATAACAATATATAAATTAAATTTTTTTTAACATTCCAAATTTTGTCGACGAACACAATAATTGTGATAACTTCAAGACAACTCTACCGATACACCCGAAAATTATTAGGGATCTATGTGCCATACGGATTGATACAAACCTGAACTTTGTAGGCAATTTAGAACCAATACATGGTTAAGACGTTTTCCTTAAAACAACAGTTTGAAAAGGAATGAAATCCAAAAGTTATTTGTGTGAGTTTTAAGAGCAGCTATTCAGTTTGGAGAAAATCTTGGGAAGCTTTAGTCATGGACCGAAAATAATCCTCCAAGAAAATCAAGAAAATTTACAATTATCGATTTCTATAAAAATTAGTGAGACAATACAAGTCAAAAAAAGAAATACAATATCAGACATAGGGCGAGACGGGTTGGGACGTTTCTCCATTGGGGCTGACGTTTCGCCATGGCCTAACAACTTGGCAGAGTTACAATTACAGGTGTTTAGCTCGCTCGGTAATTTCCAAACTACAGCTAGCTATTTATAGCCTCCTCACAGCTTCTATTATCTTTGTATTTTTTTTTTTAAACCGCTCTTTGAGTTCTTCTTTTATGGCTGAAGATTTCTGAAAGAGGTGACTGGAGAATGCTGAAAGGTTTCAAGAAAAATACAATAAATTGAAGTTACCACAATTAGTAATGATTAACAATAAAATTATAAGGATTGATAATTGGTGTAGAGTTTAAATGTGCTCACTGAACACTATTATAGATGTCCATATAATTGAGACAGATTGTAATGTTTATTAATAAACAAGAATCTGAAAGTAATTGATAATTAAGACACCGCAAGAGTTGGGGACATACGGAAGAGAAATTTTTTAAGTGAATGTGATTAAGGTGTAATTAGTTGGCCCGTGCGAATAATTTTCGGAAAATTTTGTTTAATGGAGAAATAGAAAAACAATATGTAAATAAGTAAATCCTGTGTATTATGTGAGGAAGGAATTAATATTTTCTCCTTGGTCGATTACAATATTCTATTAAACATAATAGACCAAAATATTTGTATAAATTGCTTTGCTAGGACCTATTTTTAAACGCTGACTGGAAAGATAATAAAAGTAATAAAACCAAATAATGCCCCGATCATGGGATTTCTAAATTATTAAAAATATAAAATGTAAGAACAAACGAATACCTTTAAGAAATAATAAAGTTAATATACCACTCAGGAAAAAAAGTGTAGTAGACTATTCTATTCTTAAATGCAATATCTTTAAACAGGAAGATATTATTAAGTATACAAAATTTAATGGACTATATCTTTGTTAATAATTTTCTGATTTTTACGATTTTTTTTTCTTTTATTGGCAATACAGTAATCTTTCTAATTATCATGGGTCCATACTTTTTGAGTTATTCGCGAATAAAGTTTCTTTTTTTTCATAAATCTTTTTCCAGGAATTTCGGGAAGATAGGACTATTTTTCGCACGTGAAGGAGATATATTCAAAACGAGTGGTCAATTATTGGATTTGATGAAGAATTGACGAAGTTATGGCGTGCCGACAAAAAAACACCTTTTAGAAATAATATATAGGATGGTAAAAGTCCTTAATAAATTCTAAGACCTTTGGTATTTTAATCATTTGCGGATTGATTATATTTTATTCAGGTTGAAAGGTTTACAGCCCTAAATTAAAATAATATAAACATAGTCATATAACTTTTAAATGAATAAAACCAGAAAGTTTATATGGGTCCTTGGCCTCTCAGGAATAGAGGGCAGTGTCCTTTCTGATACCTCGACTTTCAGTCCCTTCGCCAGATTTCATGTTTGTAACAAAAAAAAAATCATAATAAAATTATAGCAACGAAAATTGGCTACGAGTAGATAAAGATAATAAACTAAAAGTAGTTAGACATAACAAATCTCTGAAATGTTATACCCAGTTATACCCAAAACGAGATGTCACGATGAACAAGTTAAGACATGGGCAGACTAAGCTGATGTTGCTTGTGGCCATGCCTCGAATTAGTGAATTGGTATGTCCGTGTAAGTTATTGTGAAATCTTTTGTAGTTTGTTTGTATGTTATATGTATGTTAACTGTTGTCATATGTAGGTCTTTATGTAAAATGTTTTTGATTGAAAAGTCTGTAGTCTACGTATGTTAGTCTTTTTGGCTGTCCCGTACATGCATGTTATGTTAGTTTCTGAATTTTAAATATGGAGAAGCAAGAATAAAAGTACGGTATATTTAATGGATTACCACATATCCTGTTAGAAACAAGTTTATGATTTTAACCTAATTTTTCGTAATTCGGCGCATTTTCAGATAAATAATTTGTGTGTACTGATGATATATAAATGCATTATGAAAATAGATCCAGGAATATAATGTCTTAGGAGTATATTTTTTCTAAGAATTGAAGACGAGGTGCAATTCTAATGGATCCCATTCTCAACCACATTATCTCAGGAGCCCAGATGTTGAGCCGGTTTTCACCGAGATGGTTCTGAATTATTTGAAGATGAATCGACGCCTTGAGTATCTCTTTTTATATCTTAATGGTAACAATTTTTAGGGAATTCGAAGTGAATATCAAGAGCAAAGGCATTTTAGTGCTGCTGAAAAATATCGCTTGCAGAAATTATAGTTGGAATTTTAATCGAAATGTTCTGGTCTGAGTAGTTGTTTAATTTTCTTGAATATCCGAATCGAGTTGAATAAATTAGTACCTTCAATGTAAGGTTTTATTAAACTTAATGAAATAGTATTAATAAATTACTTTATTTTTATAACAATACGTTTGACGATAAGCGGAAGAATTATACGGAATTTAATAAAATTGATCTCAACCCGCATAATTCCTCAAAATTGAATTAATTGTACCAGATGAATTGGCTGTCAAATGGTTTTATCAACAGACAGACCGACACCGAAACAAATGATTGTTTGACAATTTATTGTCACACGAATACACTTCCAAATTCATTTCTGTATTAGGTAATTTAAAACTTATAACTATATTTATAATTATATTATATAGTAATAATAAAATAAAGATGTGTTGAAGTAAGAGTACTTAGGAGGTTAAAAACCAGATGGATAAATAGAATGAATAAGGATGCAGAACTGTACGAAGGAAACTGGATAGCAGTCCACAAATCTACAAGGTCTTTAAAGCTAACTGAAAAAAACATATAATAAAATAAAATATACATATTTGAAATATTTATGATATAATAATTTTCGTTTGTTTGACAACAACAAAAATCATTTATTATTTCATCTGTTGAATATTTAATTTAAGTTGCGTTTAGACGTTTCACAAACTATGGGAAACGCAAATATATAAAGGTGCGTTTAGAAATTTTGATACATTATTGGGTACACAATTATCTACCGACTAACAGTGACATTATACCTAAACCAAACTATCCATTTTATTTTTCTTGATACTTACAGCTGATGAAAAATTTCAAAAACAAGAAACAACAATACTAGCATAGCGAAAAATGATAATATATTTGTTTTTCCCATAGTTTGTGAAATGTCTAAAAGCATATTAATTTAATTAGTTGATTCCCACGTACTAGTGTTTCGTTTCTATAACACTCTTTGTGTTTAAATTTTTTTTTTTTTATTTACTGCCTTATTTAATTTTGTTATTTGTTTATTGTTTGTGTTGTTTGATTAGTGATCTGTGGAGGTCGGTTGCATGTTATTGTAGGCTAGGTTATATATTGAGAGATGTCCGACTGAAATATGTGATCCATATGTGATATGCATGTGTGATCCAATTGATTTGATGTACACATAGAGCCTTAATGCCCAATGCCCTTGATTGTGGCAGATTGTATTATTATTATTCCAATAAAAAGATTTTTTTTTTAAATTGATAAATATCATAAACATAAGAAGAAAGTTGCCGATAGGTAGACCATACCCAGCAACATTTTAAATAAGGGTGTTATAGATTTCGATTCCTTTATATAGTAATAGGTTAGGCATTATATGATCATCGAAACAGCTTCTACGTCGGCCATGTCTGTTTATTTAGGAAAATAGTAACGTATGAACATCTTTTGTTTCTTTATATTTACTTTTTTTTAAATATCTAAGCTTTAGAAGTCTATAGGGATAAATCGGTAAATTAATAAATAAACATATATTTTTTGTTTAATTTATTTTAAAGTATACAAAGTTACATGAGCGTATTTATATTTAAATTTTATATTCTTTTCCACCATCACCAATTTTGTGACCATTACCACTACCATCCTCACCTCTGCTAAGAACCTCCGCATCATCACCATTACCATTAATATCTCTAACATCATCAAAATCGCCGTGACCACCACCGTGATGTCCTCCGTCACCACCTCCGCCTCTACTTCTCATATACTTGACAGCTCCTTCCAAGGCTATGGTCGCCAGAAAGGCTGCGAAGCCTAGAGGGAAGCCCCTGAAGAAGAAGGTCATAAGGCCCTGCCGCGTGGTGCCCCATTCGCACTCTCGGAAGCGCCAGACCTCGTTCCTCAGCCAGGGGTCTTTCAGTCCTTGGCTCCTGAGGGCCTCCTGCACCTTCACCAGTTCTGGAGCTTCTTCCACCTTGTAGATCCTGTAGTCGGGTGTTTGGTACTTTTCTCCTCCAAATACCATTTTCACTTAGTGTTCACTGTAGCTTGTATTTTTACTGTAGCTTGCTGGAATTACACAAAATAACAAATATCACCTGGTAAGTGGTGTTCTGCTTTTGTTTATGAAGACGATTTATCACCAAGCTTTCATTCTTAATCCATTCAATTTCAATGAATAGATTTAATTAAAAAATAAATTATAGCCAATGATAACTGGTATAAGATTAAGTTTTATTAACTTTATATATTTTTAAAAGATCGTCGATTTATTACCAAAATTCAAAGTGCATTTTTGATGTAGGTTAATTTTTAAATATGCTTTTGCATCGATTTTATTTATCGATACGAAAACACCGTTAATGCATGAAAATGACATATCCAATATAATTACAACAAACGCACAAAGGAAAATTTTCTGATTCTACAAAGAGCAATTTTTTCTAGTTAAAAAAATAATTATGTCAAATTGTTTAATTATATATGGTTATGAAATGTCTCTTAATGACTTTTTGCAAAAAATAGACGATATATTGTTGTTTCCTTGGATATTCAATGATTCTTCTTTAAAAAAAAAAATCTCTATATACTTGTCAATTAAATTTTTCTGATAAGTAAAAAAAAACCAGTTTAAAATAGGTATATAACTCACTAAGTACATAATCTTATCGATAAAAAACACAGTATACTAAAATGTCACAAACCCTTAGGAGATTTAAGGTTATGATATGTCAGTGAATCATTTTTCCTATGAACCGACGATATTAAAAAACAAATATTTCCCGTTGTTTTTTCTAAAAATCTTTTTCTCTTACAAGCTACTGACACTTTTATCGATTACCTCAGAATCCTCGATGAACGCATGTATATCTGAAGGAAGTAATCAGTAATTATTAACAATACTTTATTCTGATTCTTAATGACCATTACTCGATATTTTTAATCGATGGTACCGAATGCAAGTGAAACTTTAAATTAAATTATTAAATTTTCTGGTTGATAACGATGTAGTGCTATAACCTCTTTCTAGTGTTATCAAGCGTTTTTCGAGAAAAAATATTTCGTCATGAATAAATTCGGCGGTTTTTAGGTCAATAAGATGTAACTCTGAAAAAATATAAAATTAATTTTTATTTTGATCACCATTTTTTCAGTTTCCTCTTCTTTTTTTTACGAGTAAGCGCAATGTTCGGCGATGACCCAAAAGTTGTTTTTCTAAATTAAAACATAAAAATACGAGGGAAACTATTTATTTTTTTTCTATCTTCTAGTAAATTTTGAAGTCATCCCTTACTTTTTTGTGAATATTGTTATTTAACTTTAGCTTCATTTTTTATTTGGTTCACACTCTTAGGAATACAAGACGTTCATGATACAGGTTATAACCTCATTAGTACAATCGTAATCATTAATTAAAATATGTGTATTTGACAGATGTGTAACAGTTCTAATAAGTGACAAAAAGTAACTGGCGGTACTTATATAAAAAAGATCCAGTTTTACTTACTTATAAAATTCCAAATTATGCTTTTTATTTCGTCTCATAAATTTCCACGTTATATAATTACACCAATATAAGGTGTAATTCTCCATATTTTTATCACCAGGAACAGTCCTCGAAATCAATAAAGGTTATTATTCTTTTTTGAAATTTACTAAAAAAAAATGCTTCGAAAGAAGAAGGGATGATAATAATTTTTTCGTTGCTATTCATCAATTGTTTAAAAAATTAAAATAAATTAAATATACCGGCAATAGAGGCATTAAGAGAATTTTAATGCGAACCACAGCTTTAAATATTATCGTGGATCTTCGCAAATCGGTTTAATTGTTAGAAAATTTAGTTTATTTATCAACAAATTAGGAAATTGTGACAGCGTATACTTAATCGGTAAAAGAAAATTAGTTTTGTGGTCAAAAAGCTTTTCACATAATTAAAAAATCCAAAAATGAATTTTGCACTGTTTTAAACTAAAGATTGGAAAATTGAAGTTGAATGTATCTAGTTGAATACTCCAAGATATCAAACTTGTCTCCTAAAGAAAAATGGTTTAATAAACCACCCTGAAACAAATACCCAGCCTTATTCCATCAAGGAACTGCCAATCGGAATCGGCTATTGTGTAATGATATCGCTTAAGGTTCATATACCACTCTCTTAAGTGTTCTATCTACAAATCTACTGGTTTGTATATATCGTTTATAAGGTTATTATTTATTAATGAGTATAAAATAGCCTATTACTAGTACAGTGTCTATTATTGGTAGATTTACTATTTCTTCATTTTCCTTTTATGTGTTACATTGCAGTAGCAACAGCTGACACACCCCAGTGTTTTATTTTAATTTGATATTAGTTAAAGAGAATACTATCTGTTAGCAGCTAAGTAGGGATTAGAGAATTACAGGTTCTGTAAGAGACCGTAACACCGCTACTGAGCATGTAACTAAATTAACTAGTTAACGGAACCAAGGATTGCAAAACCTCCTGCTTCGGTGGGAGCCCTGGAACCAATATCGGTTTGAAATATGATGGACTATCCTATATTTTAAAACTTTATCTAAAAAATATTTCGTCGTATAAATGATTGTTTCAAGCCCCTCGAGCAAAGTCAATATCAAGTGCATTATGAAAAAAACACATAAATTCATATTTTGTTCTTTATGAAACTCATTAGCGTCTTCCGACCTCCTTCATTCTTGGAGATCGAAATTCATTCCAAGGTTTCTAACGTTTAATAAGTAACTCGAACAGCGAGGATATGAATGACAGTTACAGGTACCTGGAAATATTCGTGGATTACCGAGATAACCGTTTGAAAATTATCAATGTCCTGAGCATAGTCCGCACAGTAAAATAATTGATGTATACCTAAAAATATTATAACTGGCGCAGATAAAAAAAAAAAAAAAAAAAAAAAAGAGAAAATTGCTTAAATAGGTATACTGTCACCATAAAAAAATCAGTGTTGATGGAGCTAAACTTTCTAATACAGTTTTGTGATTTTCGATCTCATTTCTTGATAAAAAACAAAATGTGTGAAGAAAAATTATAAATGTCCTATCACACATCCAAAATAATTGTACTAATTATAAATGATATTATATATAGGTGTGAATATGATTTATTTACTTTAATTTCATTTAGCTTTCATCTATTATTTCATTTTTTTTTTTTAGCACAGCCATATCAACTTTTTTTTTAAAGTTTTGTATTTTTAATTTGTATATTCGTATTTAAGTTTTGTATTTTTTATTTATTGTTTATTTTGTACATAATGTGTGAATGAATCATGTAGCCTTAATATTAATGCCCTTTAATGTGGCAGAATGTATTAATATTCAATAAAGAAAGTATCCCCCCCTTCAAAAAAATTATAAATGCGAAATGTCCTGATTTTGACACAAAGAGTAAATTTATTAGCATACCTCGTGTTTTAGTTTTATAAAATGTTAGTGATTTTTCGCCATGCGATGATGAATATGAATAAATAATATGTCTGTCTGTTTATCCATGTTTTATCTACCGCTAATTGTTATATTCAGAGGTTTCCAGAAGAGGTTGACATGAGATCGATTGGCGGAGGGGGGTCATATTTTTTCTAGTGGGGGGGGGATTTCAATTAAAGCAAACTTTCAAACTAAGGAACAGAAGAAACAAATTAACTATATTTTTTATAATTTTACTTTTATTTATATATTGTGTTTAAAGAAGAGAACAAAAATGTTCCTAGCAGCATCTGGCGCAGCCGTGGGGATGGATGGGACTGGCCCCTGCTTTATATTTAACAATCGAAATTTGATTTTAATGGTGGAGATCCCCTCCGAGGCGTCTGAAAAGAAGATGGCTTCGTGATCTACTTATGTAAATGTATTATTAGAGTGCTTCCAATGGGTAGTTTCTCAACAAGCATTTTTATGTCATTGTATTATTACTGTGTGCACATTTGCTAGTTGTATTTTTTTTTTTATAATACAGTTGTAAAAATCAATGAATAAAAAAAAAAGAAAAAAAAATCGTGTAGAAATTTTTGACTTTAGATACGTTTAGTGGATATTAATTGGGATTTTCAGTCAGTGAAGTACACAATTTTTTTTTTTTTATTCCCGAGTTTTGGAATAAATTTTAGGTCATGTTCAATTTTAAACAAAGAAAACTTATTATTGAAATATTAATGTCATTATAAATTTGCTTCTCTGACTGCAACCACCAACCAGCTTCTTCTAGTTAAACGTTTTTATTTTTTCTTCTTGTTCTTGGAGAATTTCTTCTTATATCGTACTCGAGGATGTTTTTTTTGTTTTGTTTTTTTAGAAAATTTACTGTATTCTAGAAATACGTGTTGTACTGTTCTAGCAGTTTGGAAATAGGAACGCGTTGGTGCTTCCAAACCGCGCGAAAGGTAGCAGTGGGAAATCCCAGTGTCCGATGCGAATTCGGTTAAGGCTTATTCCTGTATTGAACTTATTAAGTAATTATCTAATATGTATATCTTATAATATAACATACAATGTTTTAAAGTGGAACCATGTAAGCTATTCGTGTTTAAGCATCTTCTAAGATAGTTCGATATCATTTGACAATACCTCTTTTGTGTTAATGTGGATTGGTTTTGTTTATTTTTTAAGAAATATATTGTAACGTGTAATCTGGATTTTGATCGGCCGCTGAAAAAAATTATAGATAAATGTTATTATATATCGAGATGACACACGTCTAAGGTACATCTTATATTACTTATTATTTATCTTATTATGCCTGTGTTGTTGGGTTAATAATTCAAATGCCCAACGGAGATAAATATGGAACTTCTTATTTTTGCTGTAATAATTATAGTTAGTGTTTTCGTAAAATGGTACTCTCTTATAGTACGAAATGCCATATAACCCAATTGCACAAGCGAAGGTGTGTGTTGGTATTTTTCGCTTTATTGAAGTGGAAGTTAGTCGAGCGCAGGTGTCAATAGCCACCCAAATGTGTTGGAGTAATGTTTATTGGATATCCATCGTACTAGACCTGCGCTGTAACTCTTCATGAAACTCTTTCGTTCAGCTATGTTGGAAGATTTAAGGGGACTGCCCATTATTATGAGAACTAATCAGAATTTTTGTTGTTGTTTGATGTTTTTAGGAGGTTGTTTGTATTTAGAAATGGATTCAGACGGAAACGTCACCTTAAATCGCTTTGATACAAGTCGTAAACGCATACCGTTTCATGATAGAGATCAGATTGTACTATAAACCAGTACGGCTCGAAGGTACGAGGGGTATAGCTGCTGAATATGCATCAAGCTCAGGTATTTCACCTGTAGGGTGTCCTTGAACCG